ATACAGAGGAAATAGACACAAAGCAAAGATATGGGAAAAAGGAAGAAGTACATTGGAAATTCAAGGAGGAGTAGGTATTCCCAGCATGTGTTGGGAGCAAGGGAAATGGAGGGATAAGAGAAGATCAGATGGTACAGAGAAGAATCTGAGGTAGAGAAAATCAGAATAAATAGAGACTTAAGATCTTGTACAAACATTGGGTAATACTATTTATCCAAAGATTGAAGGCAGACTGTGTGAATGGATACCAACTCTACTGGGAAAATGAGTAGATACAGCCAAATGTTAGGTTATTTAGGCGAGGAGAACCTTATTATGTCATTAAGTGCTTTTGTTTTAAACAAAAAGTTTCGCTTGTTTGAAAGCAAAGTGACATCGGGTAGAAAGAGTTCTTCCTCCACCTGAACACTTACCAAATGGCTTGGGCCAGGCTATGTTTAGGAGGTAAGAATTCCATCTGAGTCTCAAACATGGGCATCTTTCACTTGGGCACATCAAGTAGCTTGAAAATAGCAACTTACACTCAGGATGCCAGATGATACCTGCTCTGACTGTGTCATAACATCTGCTCTATTTTCTTTTTCTTAAGATTTATTTTTACTTGAAAGACAGAGTTATAGGAATGATGAGAGACAGAGAGATCTTTCATCCATTAGTTCACTGTTCAAATTGGGGCTGAGCTGATCCTTAAGCCAGTAGCCAGGAGCTTTCTCTGGGTTTTCCGGGCAGGTATAGGGTCCCAAGGCTTTGGGACATCCTCTGCAGCTTTCCCAAGCCACAATCAGGGAGCTGGATGGGAAGAGGAGCAGTTGGGATTACAAACTAGCACCTATATGGAGTGCCTGCTGTTGCAGACAGTAGATTAGCCTGTTGAGCCACCATGGTAGCCCCAACCCTAACTATTTTCTTAAATTAAAGGTTGATATAATTTGCATTAGAAACATACTGTTCTGTGTTTGAACTAATACTCGTAAGACACATAAGAAAGTGATTATCACGAAAGATGAAATTTATGTAAACAGAGGTCTGCAAACAAAGCACACGGGCACACAAAATCCATGGGGAGGGACAAGAGATATTCAGGAGGCAGGAAGGGATGGACAAGGACACGTAACTCAGAGACTATAAGGATAAGGACTTTTTTTTTTTTAATGAAAGAATACCCAAGTGGGAAAAAGTGTGCTGATTTGTTTTTCTGAAGCTCCTCAAAATATTGTCCAATCATTGATGTTGGGGAAATTTAGAAAAGGGGGAATTTAGCTGTAAAGGGTTCTTGAAGGCTATCTATTAGTCATGCCTAAGGGAAATTGATGGGGAGGTAAGAAAGAAAAGGAGAAAGATTGCATAATACTTGGAAGGAAATAAAGTCTTTCTGCACTTCCTTCCTGTTCCCCCTACTATCTGCCTTTTAATCATAGATCAGAAATTGTACTTAGAAATGTTTATTAGTAAGCTGAATGAATACCTTGCTATCTAAGACAGATTTGGTTTTTGAGTTCATGCATTGCAATGGACCATAAAGGGCTCTTGCTTATCCTTGTACATATTCTACATGTAGGATTTTTATCTTAAATTATGTGAAATACAGTTAGCACTTTTTAACTGGTACCTATGGTTCAGAGAAGAAAAAATGTTTTATACTTGATGTGTTCATTGAGTATTTGGAAATTTCCATAGTGTTTATAGTCATCAGAATTTTTTTTTATAGTTTTAATTTCTTGTAGGAAGTTTGGAGACCATACTTAATTTAAAGATCTTACAATTATTGCAGAAGAGCCTTTGATAACTTACAAAGTACATTTCAGCAGAGCCATTTCATTATTATTATTTTATTAATTGCATTGCATTATGTGACACAGTGTTATGGGCACTGGGATTCCTCCCTCCCCTCCCCGCCTCTTCTCCCCATGGTGGACTTCTCCACCTTGCTGCGTTACCACAGTTCAAATTCAGTTGAGGTTCTTTCATTGGAAGTATTTACCAAGCATAAAGTCCAGTGTCTTATTATCCTACTGAGTTCAATGATTTCTTGGTGAGACCATCTCTGGTCCGAAGGTAAAGCCAGCAAATTATCATCACAATCAGTTAAAAGCCCGACCATAACTTCAACAGCCATTTACAACCTTATGGCATTAATTGACATGGTATTGATTAATAGTATGTTGATAGGAAAATGCGGTTTCTTTACTACATCCTGTGACTTCTTCATAGACATTTCAATTTTTGGTTTATGTTCAACCTGATTCCATAGTTATCAGTTTAGGTACAGAATAGTTTTTTAGGATGGGTGTGGAGAGCACTCCCCAATACCCCAGTGAGGCATAGCTAATCTTTGTGTCCCACCTAGTGAGGCATGTTTGGATCCATGCTGGCCATTTCCTGTCTGATTCTAAGCTTTCCATGTTGTTGTCTGACCATTCTAGATTTTTTGTTTCTATGTATATTTGTATGTTTGTTTTGAGGGGTTAATGGAGCGATCCTAATAGTCACCGTGAGGGAGGGTGGGGACCCAGAGCCAGAGCCAGGCCAGGACCAGAGAGAGCTTGCCTCCCTAGTCCTTAAGGAAGTTTATTATTCTTCTGTTTCTGCAGATTGCTCAGGACTCCTGGCCGTCGTTCCGATGGTGCTGGTTTCTGCATGGCAGAGTTTGGACATTTTCCATCCCCTGTGGAGGTTCCAGATGGGGGTGGGTGGCCTCAGAGTTCTTGGCCTCCAAAGTCACTCCTATTCCCCGTGGTCTTCTGTTGGGATGTAGTCCTTGGTGTCCATACTGATAGTCCTTGGTGAGGATCTGGGAGTCTTCAGGGCTGGGATATGAACCTCCCCCTGACCTCCCGCTCCACTCTAGGTCTCCCCCCTGCTCCGTACACATGACCTCCTGTTATGAGGCTTTCAGGGTCGCTCCCGATTCCCCCCTTATGTCTGTGTAGCTTTGCTATTGTCTAGTGCCGAATCGAGTCTGTCTTCTTTGGGTTATCAGATTTGATCCTGATAGGCTATATTTCACGTCTTCCTCTCACTTTTTAGGGAGATGGAAGATTTCTTTGCATTCCCTCCCCGTTACAGAGTAACATAGGGTATTGAGAGTGTTTTAGGTTTTACAGTTCTTTGATTGTAGATCATAAGCATTCTGACTCACATTAATTGTTGTTTTATAGGTTACAACGCATTATCTTTATTGCATTGGATACGTGTTGTCAGAGATTGCAATAATATTACAATGTATAGGTATTATTTTCCAGATTAACAACTTTTCATCTCAGATTAAGGCAAACATGTGGTATTTAATCTTTTGGGATTGGTTCATTTCTCTTAGCATAATGGATTCCAGTTGGGCCCATTTGGCCACAAAGAACTGCATTTTATTTATTTATTTATTTTTGATAGCTGAGTAGTATTCCATGGAGTATATGAACCATAGCTTTCATATCCAGTCCTCAGTTGATGGGCATTTTGGTTGCTTCCAAGTTTTTGCAATACTGATTGGGCTGCTATAAACATTGGGGTGCATGTTGGTTTCTTGTAAAACAGGTGTTTTGGATAAATTCCTAGGAGCGCTATTGCTGGGTCGTATGGTATGCTGATTTTCAATTGATTTAGTATCCTCCATACTGATTTCCATAGAGGCTGTACAAGTTTGCAGTCCCACCAACAGTGGAGTAGGGCTCCCTTTTCCCCACATCCTTGCCAGCAAGTGTTGTTGGTTTTTTGTATGTGAGCCATCCTTTCTGGCGTTAGGTGGTACCTCATTGTTGTCTTCATTAGAGTTTCCCATATTGCCAGGGAACTTAAGCATTTTTATCATATGTTTGTTTGCCATTTGGGTTTGTTCTTTTGTGAAATGTCTGCCCATTTCCCCTGCCCATTTCTTGAGTAGTTTGTTTTGGTGTTTTGGTTGTTCTGGAGATCTTTGTATATCCTGGAGATTAGCCCCCTATCACCTATGTAGTGTGCAAAAAATCTTCTCCCATTCTGTGGGTTGCTTTTTTACTTTGTCGATTGTTTCCCTTGCTGTACAGAAGCTTCTTAGTTTGATGAAGTCCCATTTGTTTATTTTGGTCTTGATTGCTATTGCCTTTGGAGTCATTTTTAGGAAGTCAGGGCCTACACCTAAATCTTGTAGTGTGTTTCCTACATTTTCTTCCAAAAGTTTGAAGGTTTCTGGGTGTAGGTTTAAGCCTTTTATCTGTTTAGATTTGATCTTAGTGTATGGTGAGAGGTATGGGTCTATCTTCTTGTTTCTACAGGCTATCATCCAGTTGTCCCAACAGCATTTGTTGAATAGACCTTCCCATTTGCTCGGGTTGTCGTCTGTCTTTTTGTCAAAGATTAATTGGCTGTGTCTATGTGGGTTTCCTTCTGTTGTTTCTATTCTGTTCCATTGATCCTCTTCTCTGTCTTTGTGCCAGTACCAGGCTGTTTTGATAACCACTGCTCTATAGTATGTCCAGAGGTCCGGAACTGTGACTTCCCCCGATAGGTTCCTATTCTTCAGAATGGTTCTAGCTATTTGTGGTTTTTTGTGTTTCCAGATGAACCTACATATCATTTTTTCCCAATTCACTGAAGAATGTTTTCGGTAATTTGATTGGGATTGCATTGAAAGTATATATTGCTTGTGGAAGTACAGACATTTTAATGATATTAATTTCACCTATCCAGGAGCACAGGATGTTAGAGCCATTTCATTATGCAGAGATTGGGCAACAAGGGATCTTCTGGGAGAAATGTTCTGTTTTAATATGAATAAGCTGACTTTATTAAGCTGAATACTGAAGGTGTTTGCATTTATGGAAGATAATTTTTTCAAGTCTAAACAAAGCTGCCTATTTAACTCTCTTTTTTGTGGCTAACCACCCATAAGCCACTGGAAATCAATTTGTTCCCTTCTTATGTAGTTTACTAATACAAATGTGAACTTTTCAACTGTATAAAAATTGGGATATAAGTTTTTTTGTTACATAACATTAACATTTGCTGTATATTTTATTCCCGGGTATAGGAGCTGTGACTAATGATAATTAATGACCATGGATGAAGATGAATTTAAATTGCAACCGCAAGAGCCAAACACATGTTTTGATGGAATAGGTATAACTATTTCTGGTTTTTATCAGTCCACATTTGCCATAGTAGGAGATTGTCAAGAGGTGGAACTGCTACATCTGATGCTAAATTTTATTGAGATTCACTGACCTGCCAAGAATTCCTAGCATAATCTTATTTGTGCTGTATCAGTGTCAAAATTGTACTGTAATGCTATTATTCTACCTTTCAGTACACAGCTGCGTTATATCTGTTCTTCCTTCCAAAGTGCTTTCAAAAGGTTAGTTTAAAGACTTAAAACAAGGGAAATATATTACAGTTTTGTGACACAGAAAGACAGGCACAGTGTTAGTTTAAACTGATTTCTGTGTGTAGAGCTTCACAAGGTCTGAAACAAGTTTTTCTGCAGTACCTTCTTCCTTGCTCAGTGCTCCTGAAAGTATGCAGTTCTAATAATACTTGTACCTTTTTTTTTTTTTTAACGGAATGTTGCCCTTGCAGTTTTAAGATGGAGGTATTCTTTGCTTATGCCCTGCAGTTGTCAACTGGTGGATACTCTTTGCTTCAACAGGCTATCCTCTAAATTCCTTCTCATGCTTTGCCTGTTTTTGTTCATCTACAGTGAGTGAAATCCCTCTCATCCTTTGAAACTTATTTACTTTCCTTTCCACCACATATCGCTGGCCTCGGTGTTGTTGCTATTATTATTATTATTATTATTATTATTATTATTATTATTATTATTATCGTCATCATCATCATCATCATCATTTTGGCTGCTTAAACAAGTGTACTTCAAAAGGGTTATAGTAAGTGAAATTAAAGAGGTGATTTTGTCATGAAAACATTACCTTTACGACATCTGCAGAATTTCTTTTGCCTTACCATGTTACATTTTAAGAGTTAGAGATTAGAATTTAGGTATCTTTGGAAGCCCATCACTGTCTCATCACTGTATATATTCTGGTTTTGAGAATATGTTTTCTAAAGGTAAATACATTGGCTTGTCTACAAGATTCTTAGCAATAAATCCTTTTCTAAAATTAGCCATTCGAAGGAGAGAAAGAGGGAGATCTTCCTTCGGATGATTCACCCCCCAAGCGGCTGCAACAGCTGGAGCTGAGCCAGTCCGAAGCCAGGAGCCAGGAACTAGCTCTTCTTGGTCTCCCACGCGGGTGCAGGGTCCCAAGGCTTTGGGCTGTCCTCCACTGCTTTCCCAGGCCACAAGCAGGGAGCTGGTTGGGAATCGGGGGTCGCTGGGATTACAACCAGCGCCCAAATGGGATACCGGCGCATGCAAGGCAAGGAGTTTAATCACTACACTATCACACCTGGCCTGCTATTCATAATTCTTAAGCAGTCCCTGTCTTAAGTCTCTGTGATATTTTAGATGTAAGTTATTTTGAAGTGTATAAACCCTTATGTATATATTATACTTTATATTATACATAAACAGTTCTTATGTATAATATAAATTCTATACACTTATTATACATACACCCATACATACACTAGTAATAATAATATATGTTTAATGATAATTTATAAATATGATATAATATAAATCACAGTTATTATCCATCTTCTGACCCCAGAGCAATGAACAACTTATCTGCACCTAACAAAGTCAGATGCTTCTAAGTATCTGGTCCAAAGTAAGTAAATTGTGGAAGCATTCAGGCACTAGAGCAAAGAAACTGTCAAATCTATCTAGGTGTACTTTCTCAAGTTTTACAACCTGAGAATAGTCAGTTGTGTTCTGCTGTTTTCCTTGCTTTTTTTCATCAGATATAGTACACTATCAGCCTTTTCCTTTGATCCTAGAACTTCAGGAGTCAGTTTTTGGTTTTTTTTTTGTTTTTTTTTTTTTCAGAATATATATCCTCTGCTTCAAACCAGCAGTTTTCTTAGAGTAAATCCTTGAAGACTTCATTGCATTTAATTGGGACTTAAGCTATAGTTTTAGTTAGTTTTTTTTTTAAGAGATTTTCGTTTGTGTTATTTTATTTTATTTTGAATTGATTGAGTTGTCCAGTGTTTCATACTGGACATCTTTATTGTGGTTTCTGTGAGTCTTATTTTAATTTAGTGCATGGAGACATATATTTTTTTTAATCTTTCTTGGTTTTTTCCCCAATCCTTTCCTGGCAAAGAACTTTTTTTTCCCCCTTTGGGAGATGACATTTATTGAGCTTATACATGTGGGTAGAAATAATGTGTGTACAAAACCCAATGTTTGTTACTATAACTTACTATAATTACATTTAAAATCCAGGCAGTTTTTAAAAAACAGTCAAATCAATCAAAGCCCACTACATCAAAATCAATAGCTCTTTTGAAGTCACAGTACCATTTAAATATGATTAAGACTTAAATGCAGAAATTTGGTTGGTTGGAAAGCTAATTAAACTTCTGATTTGCTGAAATAGGATTGCAAAAAGGCAAAATTGTGTTTTTCACAGAGATGCACTCCGGTGGAATCACCAACACTGCACAGTTGTTATAGTACTTGAAGTCCTGAGATAATAAGGAATACAGGCATCCTTTAGTCTTGTGTTGTCCTTTCTTGTATTGTTCTCAGTCAGACTGTGGATGTGTGGGATGGTACCACCACCACCCAATTGTAGCCTTTATGACAGAGTCGAGTTATTCATCTCCATGAATAGCCAGTTGCAAGTGACACGGGATAATACTCTTTACCTGTAAGTCTTTTGATGCAGTTCCCACCAGCTCAGGTACCTCTGCGATGACATACTTCCAGCATGGCTGCACTGTACACAGTAGGATTCACACCCACACATCCACGGCTGGACTTCATGTGTTGATGTGTACAGCCCATCTGGAATTGCAACGGGGAAACTAAATTAGTCTTGGAGTTTCCAAAATCCTTCCTAGGGTCCTTCCTAGCTTTCCTGCCAGCCATTTTGAATTCTGCTAAAGCCCAACAAGCAAGGCAGAGAGAAGGGCTGATACAACCCCCTCAGTAAGACCCCCAACCACTGACTCCCTGGTCACATTGTGATTCAAACTGTCAAAGAATCTTCTAAATTTCACTTTTTCTTCCCTTTCTTAATAGGCTCAGAATTTCCCAAGTGCATTACATTTTTTTTTTGGCATGATAGAAATTACCACTATTCCTTTTTCTTGAATTTGTGTCAAGAAGCTTTTACAAAACTTGGTTGAAGTCCCCTAATTATATATCTGAGTTGCTACAAGTTACACTTTCCATATAATCACATAACAGAGTTTTCCTAAACCTATAGTGATGTAACCAGAATGACTTTTCTCAGTTTCTAGTAAAATGTTCCTAATTTTCATTGCAACCCTCACTAGCACCATGGTTTAAATTCTGCAAGTGTTCATCAGTGTGCTTAGCAGCAGCGCACATTACAAGTGTACTGTTCAAACGAATGTAAGCTTTTAATTGTAAGTTCAGTTTATTAAGTTCAGTGATGAAGAATATTCAAAAGCTTATTCTCTTGGAATTTTCTTTTTCTACAAAAAAGGAGCAAAAGGAAAACCAGAACCCTGTAAGCTAAATTGCAAATGCTGTGGCAGTGAGAGTTCTTTTTAAAACTGTTAGTCCATTTGTCAGTTGAGTCGCTTCCTTCATCAGTAGGATTATGGTCTAGATCATTGACATCCTGGAGCTCCAAGTCATTCATTTCCCTAGAGAGGAAGAGCAGAAACAAAAGGAAACAGAATGTAGGCTTTTCTTAGTGAGCTTTGCGAAAAAGTTCACAGGTTTCGTGATTGCAAAATCACACTTTTTTTAACATTTTCTTTTAATTTTGAAGACATATTTGCAGAGAAAAAGAGAGGAAGAGGGAAGGAGATGTCTCCCATTTACTGGTTTACTCCTCAGATGGCCTCAGTGGCCCAAGCTGAGTCAATGAGTAGAGAGGGTCCATGAGCTTCTTCCGTATTTCCCAAGTTGTCTCAGGATCCCAAGCCTTAGGGCATCCTCTACTGCTTCCTCTGGCCATTATCAGGTAGATGGATCCATCAGAAGTAGCACAGGCTGCACATACCTATATGGGATGAGCATTGCAGGCAGAGGCAGAACAGTCCCCAAATCACTTTGCATTTTTAGTTTTATTTTTAATTTTGAATTTTATGATACAATTTTATAGAGTCTGAAATTCTCCCTCCCCAAATTTCAGCACACCTTGGATAGTTTTCCCCATATTGTTACAGTAGTATAGTCCTTCATAAGGAGTTATAATTCCATCATTCTGTCATCATTCCATTGTCTAACTATGCCTATCCTTGACTTGGAAGTAGGGATGCATGTTACATTGTGTTCTCACATCTGAATCCGGTGGTCTCTATTACTCCATCACTATACATTTCTAGTTTACGTGATTGTTGCCTTAGAGAGAACATACAGTATTTGTCTTTTTGGGATTGACTTATTTTGCTGAGCATAATGGTCTCTAGTTGTAACCATCTAGTTGCAAATGGTGCGATTTCAATCTTAAAATGGCTGAATAATATTCCATGCAGTAGATGTACCAGTTTCTCTAACCACTCATCTTTGGACAGGCATCTGCATTGTTTCAGTGTCTTTTCTATTGCATAATGTGCTGCTGCTGTAAATATAGGTAAATATAGGATTACAGATCCCCTTCTCACCTGCAGTTTGCATTTCCGTTGGGTATATTCCTAGGAATGGGATAGCTGAGTCATGACAGGTTTATTTGCAATTCTCCAAGTACTCTCATAGTGATTTCCACAGTGATTGTACTAACCTGCCCTCTCGCCAGCAGTGAAAAAGGGTGCCTTTCTCTCCACATCCACACCAGCAGGTGTTGTTAGTGTTCTGAATGTAGATGGAGTTAGGTGGTACCTCAGCGTGATTTTCATTTGTATATACGTGACGGCTGGGAGCCTGAGCATCGTTTCCTGTGTCTGTTAGCCATTTGAATCTGGCCTTTTGAAAAATTTCTGTTCATTTCATTTGCCCATTTTGTTGTTGTTGTTTGGTTTTTATTTTTTTTACTCTCCCTGGGATCTGAAGCTCTTTGTAAATCCTGGATATTAGTCCCTTATCACTTGTCCAGTGTGTAAAAATGTTCTCCCATTCTGTTGGTTGCTTCTTCACTTTGTTAATTGTTTCCTTTGCTGTATAGAAGTTTTTTAGTTTGATATAGTCCCATTTGTTTATTTTTGTCTGTGATTGCCTGTGCTTTTGTCATCTTTTCTAAGCAGACTTTTCTCATTCCTGTTTCTTGGAGAGTGTTTCTTATGTTTTTCTGTAATAGTTCGATGGTTTCTGGGGGTAGATTTAGGTCCTTGAGCCATTTAGAGCTCATTTTTGTATACTGTGACAGATGTGGGCCTTGCTTCTTAATTCTGCAAGCTTCCGTCCAGTTGACCCACCAGCATTTGCTGAATAGACCAGGATTTTCACCTGGGTTGTTTTCAGTTCTCTTGTCAAAGATTAGTTGGCTGTTTTTTTGTGTGGACTCCCTTCTGGTGTTTCTGTTCTGCTTCACTGATCTTATTTTCTGTTTGTTACCAATACCAGACTGTTTTGATGACCACTGCTCTGTAGTATGTATTGAGGTCTGGAATTATGATTTCTCCAGCTTGGTTTTCATTCTTCGGGATAGGTTTGACTGTTGATGGTCTCTTGTGTTTCCACACGAACTTTTGTATCTTCTTTCCTGTTTCTGAGAACAGTGTTGTTGTGATTTTGATTGGGATTGTGTTGAATGTGTATATTGCTTTTGGAAATATGGACATTTTGATGATAATCCTACCAATCCAGGAACATGGCAAGGTTCTCTGTTTTTCAAAAGTCTTCCTCTGTTTCCTTGTAAATGTTTTCTAGTTTTCATTATAGAGTTCTTTCACATATTTAGTTAGCTTAATTCCTAAATATTTAAGATCCCTTCCTGCTATTTTAAAAGGGACTGTACTTAGTTTCTTTCTCATAGAATTATTTGTGTACACTAGTGCCACTGATTTGTGTTCATTAATTTTGTATCCTGCTACCCTGCCAAAGTTTCTTATGAGTTCCAGTAGTCTCTTAACTGAGGTTTTTGGTTCTTCTATAAGGAGTCTCATGTCAGCAAGTTCTTTGCATTTGTAAGTGTTTGTGCAGTAGCTATCCATTTTTAACACCACAATTTGCATTCCTTTAAATATTACCATAAACTTCCTAGGTTAAGGTAATGAGATTTTTGTCTCAGTTTCCCTTAGTCACAGATCTGTCATGTTTTGGCTGGGTCACTTACCTCAGGTTTCTCATATCTGCATTCTAAGTATTACAGTTGCGTTTTTTTCTTGGTACTTGAGAAATTAACCCAAAGCCAAGGGAATTGAGATGATTAACTGAATATGATTCCTTGTGGTTTCACAAATTCCCAATTTGATGGCTGTTGGCCAGAGACTTGACTTGCTTTTGTGGCTGCCGGTGTTTCTTCACATACTTCCTATGTGACTCCTTCCATCCATGACAAATTGAGATCCTTTGGATTTAAAATCTCTGAGCTTTATTACTCCACTTCAACTTTCTAACTTGAGCCATTGAAAGTTCTTCATTTAAGATTAAATGGATCAGATGTGGCCTGTCCAGATGATGCAAAATAATCTATTTTAAGATTTTATACGCTAAATAATTCCTGCTAAACCTGTGGTGGTAAGCCTTAGTAGTATGTTGTACTCACAGGCACCAGAAATAACAGTGTGGACATTGCATAGGCATGATATAGGCTGAAGGGGCCAAGAGGGCCTGGCAAGAAAATTCTACTTAACATGCTGTTTTTCTTCATGCTAGTTCCTATTACATGTTGCTTGCTATGTTGCCTAATTCTTAATTTGTTTCAGTTAAACTGTTTTTCTCATTGTTCAGCTTCTGTACGTGTTCATCCTAAAATAACAACTATGTCTTATCATTTCTCAGATCTTCATTGCTTAGGAGATAAAGTACAATTCCAAGCTCCTCTGCATTTAACCCTGTTCTGTCTACAACTCTCACATGTTCCTAAAAGGAGCCTCTGCATCAAGCAAATGAAATGTTAGCTCATTTACAAGCAGCGTAAGAGCTACTTTATGAAATTCTAACTGTAGAAAAAATGTTTCCACAATTTCAGATTAATCATGGGTCCAAGAAAATGATATTATAGAGGCTTCAGATTAGGGACTGTGTTTTCATGTTTTGTATTTCAAAATAGTTACAGTTTCAAGGCAAACTTTCAGTAATTTTAAGTGACCATATTAGCAACGTAAAAGAAGGAGTAATTTCCACAGGAAAAAAAGGATTTTTAAGATCATTTGTGTTTAACAAGTTACTTGCAGTTGTTAATTGTGGCTTAATAATGGCAAATGCAAATAAAAATGGTGAAATATAAGTTCTTTGCAGAAAAAAAAGATCAAGTACTTGTTAGCTTGGTTTGATAATGAGCTAATTGGTAGATTGAAGAACTAGTAACATTTTTAGTCCTGATGTCACTTAAAGTGTTTGTCTCTGAGAAAGTTACTTCAACTGTCAGGGTCTCCATTTTTATGTGCAAAATAGTAATGAAAGCTCTGACTTTTAGGACGCATAGTTCTGGGTGGTGTGCATGGCTGATATTGTGGTCCTACTTTAGAAGAAATTGAAACCCAGAGTTTAAATGACTTGCCAGGGCATACAGTGCTAGCAGATATCTTTGGACCATTCGAACTGTTTTCAGGTTCATGTTTGCCGATTTGTAGATTGTATTGTAAACCCTGGGTACACATTATTTTGTGAAAGTTTCTTTCATTGTTATTTCTGTATTTCAAATGAGTAATATTTGACACTAAAGACTTTCTACATTTTACTACTTCTGTTCTTGTTGAACAAGAAGCTGTGTGCTTCTTGGAAGACCTAATCAGTCATTAGATTAGGCATCTGCTTGAATTTTATCTAGTATGAATTAGAAATAGAAGTTTGACATCACCTGAATAGTTTTGATGTTAAATCTCAGTATTTGCTTCTTTCTTAAAGAACCATGATGCCTAGTTGGTTTTATTTGCTCTTATTTTACCTTTTTGATAAGATATATGCATTTTCTTCGAAGCAGAGGAGTTTATTTTAAATACTTCATTTAGACATCACATGCAGTGTGAAATATGAGAACTTGACTAAATCTGCTTGTGTTACTGGACTTTTCATTTGTTCCTTCCTCTACTTTTGTTTCTTCATTGTCTGGTAGCCTTAGATTGGGGAGGTTCTACGGTTACAATGTTTATATGTATGTTTATCCTAAGGAAATAATTGGTCCTAGGATCCTAGAAGGAGGAGGCTTGATGGTGATGAAGAATTTGGAATAGGTTCTGTCCGAACTATCCTCAATGAATTTTCACTGAAAAATTAGGTATTTTTTTTAAACATCTGTTTTTTATTTTTGAAAGGCAAATTTTACAGAGAGCAGGAGACACAGAGAGAAAGATGTTCAGTCTAACGATTCACTTGCCAAATGGCCAGAATTGACAGAGAGCTTAGCTGATCTGAACCCAGGAGCGAGGATCTCCTCCAGATTTCCCATGTGGGTGCAAGGTCCTAGAGGACTTGAGTCATCCACCCTCTGTTGCTGGCTTAAGGCAGAAGCAGCATAAGGCAGAGAGCTGAATCAGAAGTGGAGCAGCCAAAGCTAGAAGTGGTTCACATTTAGGATGCTGGTACTGCAGGGCAGAAGATTCTTCTGTTGTGCCACTACACGGATCCCACAAATTAGCTCCGTAACCATTTACCATTTTCATGTTCCTTCCTTATCTTTGTATGTCTTAGTTGAAAAGGATGATTTTCCATTTCCAGAATCATAAAGGCTACATCACAATTAAAAAGGGCAGGAGTGGGAAGCATAGTGGAAAAAAACAAGTAAAGGAATTTGGGAAAAGAAGGATGTGAGAGAGACAAAAGATTTGTTGTGACTGGAAATGAGAACAGAGAAATGCACAGTGAAGGAATAAAATGCTGTATTTTCTGAATTTGCGATGAGTAATGTGTTTTCCTTTTAGTGCCCTAGGAGTTCTTTTATGCTATTCGTGTTTCAAGATCCCACCCCCCAATTTTTTTCTTTCTGTGTGACTACTTGCAAGTGGTTTCTTTTGCTGATACTTACCTGCTAACTGTTAACGAAAGCCAAGTGAAATGCATGGGTTAAAAATGTTATGCAAATTAGCATGCGTTCTGCTTTTCTTTAATGTTTTTTTATTATGTGAGGAACATTAATGAGGTAGCATATTTTCTGATAGATGTGAAATAGTAGTATCTACATTATTTCAGATAGTGATGCATATTTACCTGAAATTTGTCATTTTAATTTTTTTCCAGGACCTGATGCAACACACATGGATAGTGACCAAATTGTTGTGGAAGTACAAGAAACTGTTTTTGTTTCTAATTCAGACATAACTGTGCATAACTTTGCTCCTGATGATCCAGACTCAGTTGTAATCCAAGATGTTATTGAAGACGTTGTTATAGAGGATGTGCAGTGCTCAGATATCTTAGAGGAAGCCAATATATCTGAAAGTGTCATCATTCCTGAGCAAATGTTTGACTCGGATGTAACCGAAGAAGTTTCTTTAGCACAATGCCCAGTCCCAGATGATGTTTTAGGTTCTGATATTACTTCAGCCTCGTTGTCTATGCCCGAACATGTTTTGACAAGTGAATCTATTCATGTGTCTGCTGTTGCACACATTGAACATATAGTACGTGATAGTGTAGTACAAGCAGAAATCATCACTGATCCTTTAACAACCGACCTAGTTTCAGAAGAAGTATTGCTAGCAGATTGTGCATCCGAAGCAATCTTAGATGCCAGTGGGATCCCGGTGGACCAGGAAGATGATAAAGGCAACTGTGAGGACTACCTTATGATTTCCTGTAAGTCTTGGAGTGAATTTCAAAGGTGTTTTTAAAAGCTTTCTTTCAAGAATAATTTTTTTTTCTTTAGGCTTTTTTAAAGTCAAGATTAATTTCATATATTCCCTGGTAAAATAAGCCATACTTAAGTGAAATGGTATGAAGTTCTTTATGCTTGAGAATGAAATAGATGAGAAAGGTGAAGAATGAAAAAGGACTGATGTTAATGAAATCATGAGATGCGTGTCTGGATCTTTTAGTAACAGGAATTATAACACATGAATGACATTCACCTTGAAAATATATATATGTCTTTTTATGATGCAGTCACTTCTGTGCTTGTTCATCTCATTACCATGTTTCCCTTTAAAGCAAATTTTTTAGTAAACCTTTGCTTTTGGAATTTAATCAATATCTTTTTTAAAAAATAGTTTACGGATAAGATGGTTGGCGATTTATATATATGCTTCAAGAGTGAGCCCAGGCCAAAGCGGGGATCCTAAAACTCCATCTTCTCTGCCTTGTGGGTAGTACCTGAGGAATTGGGCCATCTTTTACTGCTTTTCTAGGCTTGTTAGCGAGGAACAGCTGGTTCCCATATGAAATGCCTTACCCTGCGCCACGACAGCAACCCTAAAACAGGTTTTAACCTGTGCTCTTTATTTCTGTGGGATGCCAGCTTTCTTCTTTGTGTTTGCTGCTTCATTAACCGGTGCATGATTGGTCATAGTTTGGTTTAGTTCACAGATATCAGTTCTCTAGTGCTTGCAATTTGAATTTTTTTTAAAAAAAAGATTTATTTTTATTATTTTTTTATTGGAAAGGCAGATATACAGAGAGGAGAGACAGAGAGGAAGATCTTCCGTCTGATGATTCACTCCCCAAGTGAGCACAACGGCCGATGCTATGCCGATCCGAAGCCAGGAGCCTCTTCCGGGTCTCCCATGCAGGTGCAGGGTCCCAAAGCTTTGGGCCGTCCTCGACTGCTTTCCCGGGCCACAGGCAGGGAGCTGGAAGGGAAGCGGGGCTGCCAGGATAGAACTGGTGTCCATATGGGATCCCGGGCGTGCAAGGCGAGGACTTCACCACCTGTGCCACCGCGCCGGGCCCGCAATTTGAATTTTTAAGCGTGCTCTCTACATTCACGTGATTCTGGTTTTTACCCACTTTTTAAAATTAACTTAATCTAATTCACAACCTGCTGTGGGTATTTAGAGAGTACCTAGCCATGGGTGGTAAATCTTTTTCTTCTTCCCGTGCTCTCTCCATCCCCCAAATGAATAAGCTTTTCTAATTCCCAGCTGCTTGGACACCTGGTACCTTTGTACAAAACTCAAAATGAACTCTTAGTGGCTGACTTCAGCCTTACCTAGCTCAGAATGTCTCTTTCTTTTCTTTTTAAAAATTTTCTATTATTATTCTTACTATTGTTTATTCGTTTATTTGTATTGCAAAGTCAGATCTATACAGAGAGGAGGACAGAGAGGAAGATCTTGCATGTGATGATTCACTGCACAAGTGACTGCAATGGCTGGAGCTGAGCCAATCCGAAGCCAGGAGCCAGGGTCTGCTTCCGGGACTCCCACACGGGTGCAGGGTCCCAAGGCTTTGGGCTGTCCTCTGCTGCTTTCCCAGGCCACTAGCAGGGAGCTGGATGGGAAGTAGGTCTGCCAGCATTAGAAGCAGTGTCCTTATGGGATCCTGACATGTTCACGGCAAGGACTTTAGCCGCTAGGCCACAACACCAGGTCCACTCTGAATATTACGAGCCTTAGAAGTCAGTTAGTCAGGGACCAGTGCGGTGGTTCAACAGACTAGTCCTTCACGCTGTAGCACTGGCAATCCATGTGAACGTTGGTTTGTTTCCCAGCTACTGTGGTATCCACCCGGCTCCTTCTTGTGGCCTGAGAAGGCAGTAGAGGACAGACCCAAAGCCTTGGGAGCCTGCACTCACATGGCAGACCTGGAGAAGCTTCTGGCTGTTGGCTTTGGATTGACTCAGCTTCAGTTGTTGCAGCCGTTTGGGGAATCAACTGGCAGATGGAAGACCTGCTGTGTATTTCTTCTCTCTCTGTACAGAACTGCCTTTAGAAGAAATATAAATACACCTTTAAAAATGTGAAAAGCCTCCAAAATCTTAGAAAACACAAGAGTCTCTTCATCCCCTCTTCCTCTGCTCTTTCCGTTTGTCACTCAGTTTTCTTCCTTTTAAGCAAGTAGATGGATGGATGTATATCGAAAGATCAACGGATGTTTGGTTCTGAAAGAAATTCTTTTGAGGTGGGAAACTCAAAGGAAATATACTGAAATTAGAAAATGATAACTCCTGTCAACCACATAAATTCTCTGAAAACACTTAATTGTGTATTTTGCATTGTAGGAGGTTGGGTTTTATGGGCATCTCGTTGTAAACATGATTAGAATCTGGAGGTGATTCATTATCCTAATTAAAAATTGATAGTGTGGTAAAACTGCACCATAATAGTTACAGTTAGATTAGTGAATTAGCTACACGGATACCTGTGTCAAATAACAGCAAAACAAAAGACACTGTATGTATCCTAGGCATCTATAGTTTATCCATTTTATGCCCACTGAACTTACTCAATTCAAACAGTCGAATGGTAGGATTTTTAAAATTTAATATTCTTGAGTGTTAGGCCTGCTTGATATTTATTGGTTAAAAAAAAGAGAGAGGAAGAGAACTATATGGAAGGCACTTAAGACTGCAGAAACTGGTAAAATGTGGGTACTAATTTTTTTTAAGACTATATTAGACAAACTATTTGCATAAACAAGGTTACCTAACAAAGTAGGCATCCAAAACAAAAATATCTGGATGTGAATTTGACTATTTTCACTTCTGTTACCAATTGAAAAAACAAAACTGAACCTCGTGTTTCCTAAAATATTTTCTTAATAGGGTTTTTAAAACATGTTCTTTTTGCTTTGTAGACTGGTATACATGAGCACTGTCCTTAAAATGATTTCTGGATAGTTACTAATGCCATGACAATGTTACAGAATTGTGATCAAAACAGATCCTATTTCCTCATGGTGACTGACTTACATATTAGCTTATACAAATACAAAATTAGTAAGTAAATTATTTAAGCACTGGTGTTTTAGGAAAAAATAACTTTATTCAACAAGAGCTTTGATTTCTGAGTTTGTTGCAGGGATACCTCACCAACTGCAAACTGAAGTTATTAATACAGACACTAAATTCAGGAAAGAGAGAGTCAGGCAGACGTATCAGTTTCAGTGAAAGAGCTAGTCAGTTGAGAATTGTGAATTCATTTTAAGATATTTCAGTTAGTAGTCTTAATGGAAGATTATGGATAACAGTCTTAAGCATTAAAATCCTGATTACCTTGAATTTAGGAAATGTGCAGTGTGAATAATTGGATAAATATTTGTGCAAAGGAGATTGAGCTCAAATCGTGTGTTTTTGATTACTGGCTCCAGGGAGGGAGAAAATATTGTTTGCAGATAGAAATAGCCCTGAAAAGTAATGGATCAACAAATATGTTGAAAAAGTAAAGAGAGGATGTGATGAAGAGCCTAATGGCAAAGTCTGTTTTATGGGATGAGTAAAATTGCTTTTTTGATAACATGTAGGGAAAACAAAGCTTGTGAATTTAGTTGTGGGTTGAAGTTGTGCCATTTATCTCAATAATAAAATCTCTTAATGTAAAGTTAAAACATTAAAAAAAGAGTCAAAATTGGGGCAACTGGGATATGAAATTGTTGGGGAAGTTTTCAGTTGCTTGACTGCAATTTGTATTTCACTTGGTAGGAAAAGGAGCAGTGTTGCCCTTTAGACTGCAGTATAGAAAAATCAAGTTACAGAATCTTACAAGTGTTTACTAGTGTAGGGTTATGAGAACAAAGACAAATACATCTTGTTCCTAAGATGGGCAACAATAAGCAAATCTTAGCAACAATCTTGTATTAAAAGTACAGGCAAATTTATGAAGATGGAAAGGCAAATTGTAGAAACCAATTTAAGAAAAGGAATTCTTGCACAAGCTAAATATTGAAAATTGCATTTCAGTGCAGTTCCAAGTATGGGCGTACATGTGGTTGACAGAATTTGAAGATGCCATGTTAAAGATAGTTGTTACTAGCATTTTCAGAAATACTTTCTTATTTGGGAAAATCTTATTCTGAAGTTTATAGGTTCTTTATTTCTAAGTTTTAAATCAGTTTATGTTGTTCCACTGCACTATACCATTCTTTCAACCACAGATTGATTTTTTAAAAATCTATGATTCAACAGAAGGAGATAAAATAAAGTTATATTAAGATGTAAAAAAGTAAAGATAATGCTAATAAAATATTTGTGTTAAGACTGCTGGTTTTAATGTTGAGATAATGCTGGTAAGAAATTGTTTTATTTATGTATTTATTTATGTATTTATTGGAAAGTCAGACTTACTGAGAGGAGGAGAGACAGAGAGGAAGATCCTAGATCTGCTGATTTACTTCCGAAGTGGCCGGATGGCCAGAGCTGAGCCAATCCAAAGGCAGGAGCCAGGAACCTGGAACTTATTTTGGGGGTCCCACGTGGGTGTAGGGTGCCAAGGCTTTGAGCCGTCCTCTGCTGACATCCCAGGCCACAAGCAGGGACCTGGAAGGGAAATGGAGAAGCTGGGATATGAACCCGCACCAGTATGGGATCTTGGTGCGTGTAAAGCAAGGACTTTAAGCGCTAGGCTACTATGCCAGGCCCGCTTGCAAGATCTTTACAAATATGTGACACACAGTGCTGCTTTCAATTAGGTGCACAAAAGTAAAGTATTTTCTTTGGTGTCTTTTGACAATAATTTTTGTGAAATGTACATCTATATGTTGTCTTGGTTAAAGCAACCACTTTCATATAAACCTGAATAATTGTTCTTGCAGAAAGACTTCAGCATTACTTTGCTTAAATGTCTACTGTTATTATTCAGGTTTTTTCCCCCCGTTTTTAGTAGATGATGCTGGCAAAGTAGAACATGACAGTCCTTCTGGATTGCCGATGGATGCAGAGTCAGAAATGAATCCTTGTAAAGTAGATGGCACTTGCCCTGAAGTGATCGAGGTATACATTTTTAAAGCTGACACTGGAGAGGATGACCTAGGTAAGAAGAAGAAACGTATGCACTTTGTATTTCCTGTTCCAAGTGTTTGGTTAATTTTGTTAACTTTTTTGATGTTAGTAGTTGTTTATTTCAAGTAGAAAATTTAAAATCATTTCTGATTTTATCTTCTGATTTAGTATCTTCTGATACTAGAAGACTTAATTTTAATGTATGGGAAAGTGCATATAAGAATACTCTGTGCTGGGTATATGCTTGCAATGAAAGAATCTCAACTGAACTTGAACTGTGGTTACGCAACAAGGTGGAAGAATCCACCGTGGAGGGAGGGTTATGGGAAGGATGGGGGGAATCCCAGTACCTATAAAACTGTATCACATAACAATAAAAAAAAACTAAAAAAAAAAGAATACAGTGAAAGGTAATAAGTGAAACTGGTTAAAACAAATTTTGGAATAAATTCTTGGAGCTCTGTTTTCCCCTGAAAGGTGGAACTGTAGACATTGTAGAGAGTGAGCGTGAAAATGTTCATGGAATCGAGCTACTTGATCAGAACAACAGTGCCCATGTTGCCAGGGAAAAGATGGTTTATGTGACTGTGGATGACTCTCAACAAGAAGATGAAGATTTAAGTAAGCAGGTGGCCTTTTTCTGGGAGATTACTTGTTTTCTGTTCAACTTTCTTGGTTTTGCCACTGTTTGAGGGAACGAGCACTACAATTTTAGCAATCGTGCTGTCATGCTGCATGGGATGACACCGGGGTTGTTATTGAAAGCTTTAGATTGTTGTTTGAAAGATAAGTTATGGGGCAAGCCTAGCAGTAAGACATCAGAGTCCCAAATCTGAGTGCCTCAAATCTGAGTGCCTCAGTTAAGTTCCAAGCCTGCCTTCACTTCGAATTCCAGGTAAACCTCACCCTGGGATGCAGCAAGTGGCATTCAAATAATTAGTCCGTTGCTGCTCCACATGGGAGACTAGCTTGAGTTGGCAGCTTCAGCTTGCAAGCTTCAGCTGTTGCAGGAGTTTGGAGACTCCTAATCATCTGTCTACCTTCAAGCAATATAAAAAGCACACACACACACACACACACACACACACACACACACACACACACACACACACATTGAGTAATATCGAATATTTAGTACCTTATCATTACTAATATATTTTCCTGTATTAGCCGTGTAAATCTCACAAAGGGTTTTTAATTTTCTATTTAAGATGTTGTTGAAATTGCTGATGAAGTATATATGGAAGTGATTGTAGGGGAGGAAGATGCTCCGGTTGCAGCTGTTGCTGCACATGAACAACAAATGGATGGCAATGAAATCAAAACCTTCCTGCCAGTAGCATGGGCAGCTGCTTACGGTGAGTCTTGAATGGCAGTTTGTAGTTAGCAGGTAACTTCTGTACTTTTATGACTTCAGAAATATGAAGGGAATAGGGTGATTTAAGCAAAAGTAGGGGAAGAATATATAGTTTGTCAGTTCCTCTTGTTACTCTGTTTCTTTTGCTCAAATCTTTGTGCAAGAAGTACATAGGGCATATGTGCAGTTTGACTTTGACTTTACCTAGCTTGTGACCTCACGATTTGGGATGTATCACAGGAATCTGTGCGGTAAGGGTGCTGCTATATGTGGAAGCTTGGCATTTCTCGTAGTCATGCTTTCATAAACATGCCCATAAAGCCCATTACCAAAAACAGGGAGTTCTGTCATTCATGAGTATCATGTCTTATTGTTGTAGTTAGAAGGAATTCCTAATTCTTTATAATTTATAATACTGCATCATTTTTTCTTAATGCATATTGTTAGGTAATAATTCTGATGGAATTGAAAACCGGAATGGCACTGCCAGTGCCCTCTTGCACATAGATGAGTCTGCTAGCCTCAGCAGACTGGCTAAACAAAAAACAAAGAAAAGGAGAAGACCTGATTCCAGGCAGTACCAAACAGGTGAGGGTACAAATGTTGCAAGGCACAGTGAGTTTTCAGATAAAACCCTAATATATATTCACGGTGGACACAAGGAATGGCATTTAGCCACCAGACCACATGTGCTTTTATGTATCAATTTGAAAATAAGGTTTCAGAGTTCATTGATAGTCATGAATGATTTATGTAGATAAGAAAGAAGCAGATTTTGTCAATCATAATTTGAAGGAAAGAAATGAAAATATGTGGTGACTCAGTGGTATAGATTTATACAATGTTTTCATAAATAAATTTAAACAAACGTATCAGAAAGCAAGCATAATTTATAGAGGCACAGAGTCCTAATTGCTTAAATTGTTCACAGAACATATGACTTTCCTGGATTGGTTTTGTATGTATTTATATATGGGATTTTTTATATATATGCACTTAAATGTTATTGTCAGCCTAATTTTTATTTCAAATGATCTAAGCAGAAACATTACGCTGTATTTGAGAAATGATTTCCTCTACATTTTTATTCTTAGCAGGACAAGTTCTTTTTATTACCCAACTGCTACTGACAGACTGGTCATAACTTAGGTGTGTTTTCCCAATGATGTTTAGAGCATGTTGACATTTTGGAGAAACTAAAGTTTGTCTTAATTACTCATGCACTTTTTTTTTTTTGCTTTCATAGCAATTATCATTGGTCCTGATGGACAGCCCTTGACTGTTTATCCTTGTGTTATTTGTGGGAAGAAATTTAAATCCAGAGGATTCTTGAAAAGGCACATGAAAAACCATCCTGAGTACCTTACCAAGAAGTACCGCTGTACTGACTGTGACTACGCTACAAACAAGAAAGTAAATTTACATAATCACCTGGAAAGCCACAAGCTAACCAGCAAGACAGAGAAATCCATTGAATGCAATGAGTATGGAGAGCATTTCTCTCACGCTGGGGATTTGTTAACTCATAAAATGGTGCATAAGGAAAAAGGAGCCAACAAAATGCACAAGTGCAAATTCTGTGAATATGAGACAGCTGAACTAGGGCTATTGAATCGCCACCTTTTGGCAGTCCACAGTAAAAATTTCCCTCACATTTGTGTGGAATGCGGTAAAGGCTTCCGTCACCCATCAGAACTAAGAAAGCACATGCGGATCCATACTGGTGAGAAGCCATATGAATGCCAGTACTGTGAATACAAGTCTGCAGACTCTTCTAACTTGAAAACACATGTGAAAATTAAGCACAGTAAAGAGATGCCATTTAAGTGTGACATGTGTCTTCTGACGTTCCCAAATACCAAAGAAGTGCAGCAACATGCTGTTACCCACCAAGAAAGCAAAACACACCAGTGTTTGCATTGTGACCATAAGAGCTCAAACTCAAGTGATTTGAAACGACACATTATTTCGGTTCACACAAAGGACTACCCCCACAAATGTGACATGTGTGATAAAGGCTTTCACCGGCCTTCAGAACTTAAGAAACACGTGGCTGCCCACAAAGGTAAAAAATTGCACCAATGTAGACATTGTGACTTTAAGATTACAGATCCGTTTGTTCTAAGTCGCCATATTCTCTCAGTTCACACAAAGGATGATCCATTTAGGTGTAAGAGATGTAGAAAGGGATTTAACCAACAGAATGAGCTTAAAAAGCACATGAAGACACACAGTGGCAGGAAAGTGTATCAGTGTGAGTACTGTGAATATAGCACTACAGACGCCTCAGGCTTTAAACGGCATGTTATTTCCATTCATACAAAAGACTATCCTCACCGATGTGAGTACTGCAAGAAAGGTTTCCGAAGACCTTCAGAAAAGAACCAGCACATCATGCGGCATCATAAAGAAGTTGACCTGCCCTAATGATTCTTCTAGACAACTTGGAGGAATATTGGTGTTTGTGGAGGGAGAAAATTTATTTTAAAGCAGATTAGCTTCAGTCACATACAGTACAGTGTATTAATTTATGCTATGTGCAGAAATGGATTCTGTTTACATTTGCCTGCAATCCTTAAGCTGCACATCTTGGTGGTACTCATTGAGACAAAGTAAGATTGGTAACTTTAAAAGCAGGAAATATTTTTCTGTGCTGATTTTTCTATTGGACACATCTACTAGCATAAACTGGGAGGTTTTACTGTCAGGGCTTAGTATTATAGCATGGCAGTCATTTTCTTGTCTTGCTTCCTAATCTTTACAGACTATCTGAGAGTGGAACTTTGCATTTGAAACACTTATATACAACACTGACTAGATTTGTATTTGATTTTCATCTTGTTTAAGTGAACTATGCAGCCAAACAAAGCTTAAATGTTCTTTTCAGTGCTTTTTTTCTAATTTTTAACATAGACAACTTCAAAAGTCCTACTGAAAAGACTTGCTTTTTTGGGTTTTATCCTATCTGTGCTTTGTCTTGGAATAATATTTTATAAATGAAACTTAATGGAAGAGGGGAATTTTGGATTCTATGAGAGCTAAATGTGGCTCATAAGATTTTTTTTGCAGCATTATGTGTTGCTTACTTGCTTATTATACACTTAAAATACACAACCTCACATTTTAAACCTTTGATGAAAAGAATGTGAAATACCTCTTAAGTTTAGAGATGTAAGTGTGACCTTTTCAACATGCTCTTGAGAGATTAAATTCAAGATGAAGAATTAAAAGGAAAATAAGAACACTAGAAAAGGCAAAACATTTAAATGTTTTGGTATAGAATAAGGTATTTTTAGATGAAATATGTTCACATAACTCTAAATTCTTACTTCAGGTTTGTCTGGGAGGCTAATCCAAACTACCTCCTAAAAATTAAGTTTTCTTTTAAGTCCATATAGTAGAAAAGTGTTAATTACCATGTAGAGTTGGCAAGTTGAGCGTTATTTTTATTGACTAGAGTTTGCAAAAATTTAAAAAGAAGTAGTACATAAGTTGACTTTGGGACATAAAAGTATATTTTAAGTCTTTCAGTTATGGGTATTTGAAAGTTGATGTAGTTTTAGCAATTAGTCATACATAAAATTTTAACATTCAGTGAGTGCAGTACATTAGGACATGGTTATTGGGGATTTTGGTTAACACACCTTTGAAGTTCCTGCTATTGAGTGTTAACACTTACAGACTTGTCACAACGTAGGAAATTCCCAAAAAATGTTTTTCCTGTTTGGTAGTGTGCTGCATTTTGGTGCTTCATGATGCTTACTCAGCCTCTGACATCTTTCTCTGTGCCAAGCAGTCATATTTAGAAGCTGCATTTACAGGTTTAAACATGTTTAAGTGGCCTTTTAGATGCTAGAGTTAATCCAGTGTTAAAGTCTCCAGTTGTATAGGAACCTAAACCTAATGCCAGCCAAAAGCAAAAGCATGGGATAGATATTTTTTGCAACTTCTTTTTTCTTTTTAGCACTTGTTGATATCCTCTTCCAGTTATTAATGTCATTTTGTAGCCTATTTTCAAAACTATATGTTCTAGATGGGCAATTCTTTTAAAATAATCTTTGAATTTGAGTTTTCCCAAGTGAATTTAAGAAATTTAAGAAAATACAAGTAAGACTTTGTATTCAAAGGCTTGATTCATAAGCCTTTACATAAAGTTAGTTGATGAGAAAGTTATCCCTTTATGTCTTAGTAATGTGAATACAATATTCAGTGCTTATTTCTCACACAGTCTGTAGTTATGCACAGTTAGGTTTTTGGTCACAACATTAAATCCTCATTTTAAAAGGTAATTACGATTTTGGTATAGTAAAGACATTTTGCAGAAAAGAAAATGGCAGTTGTACTTACTGTTCATACAGGTTTCAGTTTTAGCTAGGTTTTGTTCTGAACTTTGTTAGCAAAGTTTAAAAAGTTAATGTTTCAGTTAAAAGTCTTACAGAGGTACAAACTCTTTCAAGGACCTAAGTTATTGTTTAGTTGAAGTTGCCTATAAAATAGTGTACGTTGCTTCCTCTCCATTGTAAAATACTTAAAGAAATTCATATGAGGAAATACAACTGTATAATTGAAAATAACATGCAAAACTAAAAGGAAAAGTATTTTTCTTTCAATAAATATGTTAGCTTCTTTGATTCTGATATTGTTGATACTTTCTCCTTTTTAAAAGTGCAGTTTTGCTAAATGTAATAAACATAAGAAAGTTGATTGTTATTTATTTCCATCATCCATGTTACACGCAGTGAAATACATGTGCATTTTCTAATTTTGATTCAACAAGTAGCAAATCAGTGAATTAGAAGTAATATTCCATAAAACCAAGAAGAATTTACTGTTTGATCAGTGGGATTTGGGATTTTTTTTATCTTTGCTAAAGATTATTTTATTTAGCTCTGCATCCCCAGGCAAGGATGCTTATAGGCTATGTTTCTGGAAGTATTTAAAATTCATTTCAGAGATGACTGTTTGGTACAGTGGTTATATTTCTGTTTAGGTTGTGCCATTTCAGAGTCGTGGCTTGAGACACAACTCCTCTTCACCCAGGCTGGTTCCCTGGCAGCACTTCAGATAGTAAGCTAAAGATGCTAGTTCAGGTGGAAGACTTAAAATGAATTTCAGGTTATCTCTTTTAACCTCACACAGCTCTGTCTGTTGCAGACACATAGGAAGTGAACCAGTGCATGGAAGATTTTATAGATGCCTGTCCCTTTCAAATAAAAATAAAAAATTATTTAATTTTTTAAAATAGTAAAATTAATTTCCACGTAAATATACATAGCACATTGAATCGGTGATTACATCTTTGTGCTCCCTTTGGGTAAGTCTTCAGTAAGCAGTTACGTACTATGTTGCCATACTAAAAATAGAAACTGGGTCGGAGTCAACCGGAGGTCCTTATCATAATTGAGACAATTTGATTTTTGTTGATATAAAATCACATAATCTAAAAGCATCGCATCTGAGAATGTATAATTAGTGGTAACAGTGCATTTACGAGTGTCACATTATCATTATTTTTTATTGGTGATAATAAACAGGAATGGCATTGATTAGAGTCTTACCTCTTACCGTATTAATAATAAGTAACCTTCTGGTATGTTAGCTATCCAGAGAGTCTATAATCTGTATGAAGAAAAGTACCTTGACTTTCAAAAGTTCAGAGATAGAAGTTTTGAAAGCAGTTACTGTCAATGTGGATGCCAGACCTGCCAGCATACACATCTGAAAATTATTAAGCACCTGAAAATTTACAGGTATAAAATATTGGACCTTGGGCCCGGCGCGGTGGCACAGTGGTTAAGGTCCTCGCCTTGCATGCCCGGGATCCCATATGGACGCCAGTTCTAATCCCGGCAGCCCCGCTTCCCTTCCAGCTCCCTGCCTGTGGCCTGGGAAAGCAGTCGAGGACGGCCCAAAGCTTTGGGACCCTGCACCCGCGTGGGAGACCCAGAAGAGGCTCCTGGCTTCAGATCAGCATAGCATCGGCCGTTGTGCTCACTTGGGGAGTGAATCATCGGACGGAAGATCTTCCTCTCTGTCTCTCCTCCTCTCTGTATATCTGCCTTTCCAATAAAAATAAAATAAATCTTTAAAAAAATATATTGGGCCTTCTATATGCCATTTAAATAAGTTCCAGCAAACAAGTAGATTTTATTATACTGTACACACACACACACACGCATTCACACCACTTTAACTGCATTCAGGAATGTGTTTTCAGGATCCTTGCCTTTTGTTAGCAAACAAACTCAGTCTTTCGCCTTGTAATGATACATGTGATCTTTAAAGGCAAGGTCTTTGTTGTTGATGCTTTCTTCTAGCCTTTGTTTGATGGTGAATGTGTGTGGTGTTTTTTCTGGATTTAACTGCATCAGTTGAGAACCATGTTGTTTTTGTCCATATTTTGCTAGCCTACCTATAAAAGTACTGACTTTTGCCAATTCTTGCATTTTACAATTAAATTCCATGTAGCTGTGCTGTGTGGCTCTGCGGTTCAATTGGACACAATTTGCTGTCAAGATTTTTTGTGTTTATTTATTTGCGTTTTGAGGGATAATGTGTATTTTGTGTATTTCTTTGACTCATGATAATGCCATAATGTTAACTTCACTTTGGAGGGAAGATTTTCAGGATAAATAATTTTATTTTGTTCAGTAGTTTTCCCCAGTGAAAACACCTGCTCCTGCATGCTTCACAGCTTAAAGAATTTTTTCGAGTACTGACTCTGCTGCCTTAATACTTCTGGTTTTATGGATTTTCTGTTTCTTCATGCTTTCATCATGGTAGGTTGTTGCTAGAAAAATGACCATTTCTTTTATCCAGTTTTGGCACTATTATCACAATCTTTCTTATTTCTGTGACATGATTATAGCTACCCTAACTTGTGATATGTTATTTGCATCTCTCCCGTTTCTTGGTAAGCCAAGCTGTGCTTCCTTATTTTGTTCATTTCCTTGAATTTGGACTTTTCTCTTCTCCTGTCTTTAAGTCTCTGAATCTTGCTCTGCTAGCTGCTAGTGTCTGTAAGATGTGGGAAGGTTACATAGTTCATTTGGGATTTTTTTCCCCTTAATTTTAGTATTGACCTGGAACAATACCATTTGCCAGGGCAAATGGGACAGTCACCATTTGTTAATTCATTTAAAATTGCCTGCAAAGCAGGTATGCTGGTACGTAAACCAAATACATTGTTGAGTGGATAGAAACCCAATTACTTGAATCAGGCTTGCTGTCTTCCAGTGTCTGTAGTAACAGGGAGCTGGAATTAGGAGCCAGAGAAGGTAAAGCACTCCTATGAACAATTTTGGTATCCTAATCACTAGACATATTACTAAACAGCTGTCACATTCTCTCTCAGATATATAGACAGACAGATAGACAGGTACACACATAGATGTATTTAATGGGTATTTCAAAAAGCTCTTTAAAAATGCTTTGATTTTATTGTGAAGATTTTTTTTTTTACAGATCGATTTATTTGAGAGTCAAGAGGGAAAGACAGGTGTTTTACTTACTAAATATTGCCAGGTCTGAACAGGTTGAAGCCAGGAGAC